AATCTATTTTTAAAAATCTGTAACGGAGAAAATTTTGTTCCAGTTTTTGCTTTTACATTGGAGTACATGGTAGATGAAGATTATTATTCATATGCAAATGAATGCTCTAAATGATGATCTTTATGCATGCATGTAAGGCCTTTAGATATAAAAAAAAATCACTCTTATTTTTGGTATCTCTTGATATTGGAATACCCTTTTTATCGATAGTTTGAAGTACATACCATAAACAAACGTTCAGGTGAATTTTTTCTCTCACCGATCTTGATGAAAACCAACTGTTGACTAGCTTGTTTTGCAAATGTCAGCTACTTTAGATTTACCTTACTGTGAACTGTAGGGTGCAGTGGCGGAGCGGTTAGTGCGCCTGTCTCCGAAGCGGAAAGTACGGGTTGAAGCCTCGGTTCGGACTCGGATTTTTTTCGCCCCTTCTTGCACACCCTGCAGTAATGGGTAAATGACTTCGAGTTGGGGAAGTAAAGGTGGTGTGGAAAGGAACTGGCCACCCTACCACAATATGCCGAAGGCCCAGGAAGTTGTCTCACTGACAAGGCAATCCCCAATCAATGTCGGGATCGGATGCGCGGACAACTTTATTGTGAACTGAAAATCAGCCTTACTAGTGGTGTTTTCAGTGGACATGTATAAGTAGGGCTTTTCTCTCTGAACTAAGTGTTCAATACCCACATGAGATGGTATTGTTAGTATTTCATTGAGAATCCAAGTCGGCACACAGGCGTGTGTGGTGTGGTTTTTAAGTGCTTCCCTGTCGAATACAGAAGACCTGAGTTTAATTCTCATGTGGATAGAATTATTTTTAAGTACGGTACTTCATTCTTTTTGCTGAGATGTTGTATCCCTCTCAGCCCACTTTGGCCCTGACAAACAGGATCAAAACCCACCTCCTTAATGATAAAAATTTTCCGATGAGGGCTGAAAAGCTTGCATTTAATATATATTTTTTTTTAAGTCAGCGTAATTTGGCATGAAAAGACATTGTAGGATTTGACCCTCTCCTATTTAATCGTAAGTTGTGCCAGTGAGGATGGAAAACATTTAATTACAAGATATATAATAATTTTGTTAGGCTTTTTGTCATTGCACACAGAGACATGAGACCGATTGCCACTTGTGGGAGTTATTTTGTTGAGTATCTTTTTCTGTCTTTTAGGATTCCTTATCTCACACAGCCTGGGATGGTTCTGACAGGCAGGGCCTAATAAGCAGCCCGCTTCCTAAGTGATCTAAACTGTGTTGATGAAGATGTAGAGCAGTTGCAATGATTTACAAATTTACAATGACAGTAAGTGAGAATAAGAAAAGGCCAGTTTTTTAATTTATTATCGGTCTCAGGAGCTTCTGTTTTTGTTCTTTGTTCTTCTGCAGACATTTTTTTTGCACTGTACACTTTTGTACCAGTGGGTGGTTGGCGGGTGCTCTGGTGTGGTTTGCTCCTTCTTTCCTATCAAACATCTATCGTCCTTATCTCCCCTCCTTCTTTTTTATGTTTGTTACTCTCTTGTAACACCTCTAATCTTCAGCACTTATATGACCTTATTGTGTTGCAAGTGCCGTAAAACACTTACTAAAACTAAAAACTTTTGTACTGTACTCTTGTATCACTTTGTGCCCCATATTTTGAATGAAGCCTTCGCTCATCTGGTAGAATGCGGAGCTGATGTATGGGGCTTATGTGTCTGGTTCAAATTCCCAACAGGGCGTTCTTGAGCTTGGGTTGTTTCGGAAAGTTTTCAAGGCTCTTCACTCACTTGTCCTAGTCTTATCAGAGATGAACATTAAACTTGGAGGTCTTGCTTACAAATTTAAAAGGTGCATTAACCTTATTCGTACGTCCTGGGGTCATTTTGTATCCCCGGAGTTGTATTCTTTACATTTTAGAATACATCTAGTTCGAAGTCTCTTTGAAACATTCAGCATTTCTTAAAAAATCATTTTGACAGACTGCTATGCAAAGCGTACAGATCAGATTAATTAGTAAATTTCCCCTGAAAGTGGTGGCACAGAGTTCCCCACGTCGTATGGATACGATAGTAAAAAACGACGTACGGATAGGGTTAAACTCATGCTTTTGCCAATTATTTTGAGCATCACATTATACACAGGAGCCAAATGTCTTTAATCAATAAACACCAGTGCGGTATATTTAGTCACAGGGTTTTTGCTCTTGCTCTTTCTCTTGTACAATTTAGTAACCTTCAGTTGTGAGGTTAACCAAATGAATTTCATCCATTCATCAACCCTAGTTTTTTTTCTCACTCTTAATTCTGTTTGAGTTGATCTAAATCATTTGTGAATATCCTCTCTAAGAAGAGGGTGGGTGGTTGGAGGGCACCACGGGTAGTGGTAGGTCCTACTTCATTTCTTTCTTGTTGTTTTTGTCTGTCTTGCTTTTTCTCTGCACTAAATGAGAGTTGTCTTATTGGTGTGCTTTTGTTTAATCAAACTAATTTAAAAATAAATATACTTTGCAAGTGGCGTTAGTTGTAGTGTCAGGGATGCCACTTTTCCCCGGTATTTCCTGTACATGTATTTTGATCCTGGTCCGCTATTCTGTTATTGAGACCAAGATAGAATCTATAGTTGGACCCCCCCCACACACACACACATCTAAGTACATCTAATCTATTTTTCTTTAAATGTTTGTCATTTCTTTCCATGTACACCCATTGTTTTTGTTTGTTTGTCATAATTTCTCTCTATGTACACCCTTTGGGTTTCAAATTGATATTCAAATGTCAGCGAGACCGTGGTATGTTAATTTTGAGCTGTTTGAAAAAAAAAGTTGAGTGGCATCCCTGTAGTGTTATGCCATGTCAGTAAAATTGGAAGTGTGAATTTCTTGGAAGTCGTGTTTTGCCAGCTTCTTTCCTATCAAACATCTATCGTCCTGATCTCTCCTTCTTTTTTTTGTTTGTTACTCCCTTGTAACACCTCTAATCTTCGGCACTTATATGACCTTATTGTGTTGCAAGTGCCGTAAAACTCTTACTAAAACTAAAACTAAGTTGAGCCAGGTGTATTTTCTTAGATAAGTGAAAGATAAACACTGCAAAGATTTTCAGTGAAAGATTTTTGTTTAGCTCAAGTTTTCTCCAGAAATCAAGTATGATGAGAGAAGACTGTGATGAGAATGTACTGTCAGGTAGTGCAGGAGTCATTAAAATATTTGATGATTTTTCACTATGATGTCTTTGTAGGACAGTGTGGCCTGTGCTTTTTTCTCACACTGTAAAGTCATATGTTTGAATGTCGGCAAAGCACTTTCTTGGTTGTTTTGTTGTTGGTTTTTTTAATACTTTTCTTTCCCTTTAGCTTTTGTAACTGTGCTCATGAAATTGAGTTGTCTTCCACTTGGCTCAAGTTGTTTATACACATCAGCCTTTTTATACCCGAAATGGAGACTTTTGCCATAATTCAACTTCAGCATATAGATAGCTCAGCTTCTTTTTTTTGTGCAATGTCTTTTTTTAATCGTGCATGTGACCCTCCAATACCAGAGATTTTTCCATCTTTCGTGAGCTTTTTACAAAGATTTAATGGATTCAGAGCCCATCTTTCATGTTGTGATTTTAGGGAAATTTGCAATCGGGAAAAAATGAATGACCTTTCTTTAAAAAGTGAGGAAAAAACAAGACTGTATCCTTATTATGTAACAATATGTACTTAGAAAAAAAAAACAGAACAGCTTTGTTATGGGCTTGTCTTGTTGATTGTTGAGCAAAATCAAATTTTCATCCGCCTAAGTACCTGTCCTCGTCGTTTTATGCAATAAAAATCTGAAATTATGTAAACTGAGCCCAAAAAATGAGAAATTATGCGATTTTATTAATTTTAACAAAGAAAGATAAAGGAAATTAATCAGAAATTGTGCAAAAAATGATCAAATTTTGCTAAATTATGCGGGGTGCTTAAAACCACGGGGACAGAAGTACTAAGATCCTTGTTCATTAATTTTTGCTCTTATACTAGTCTTAACCAACCGTTTACTGTATATTGGTTCAGCTGTGTGATCAGTTCGGCTGTTTGATGAAGGGAAAAAGCTTCATGACCTTTTCTGTAAGACTTTTTCTTTTTTATATCAAAGAGTATGAGTGTTTGTTCTGTGCTGATTAAGACAGGATTATATATTACCTGTTTTATTGCATTTTCGTCCTCACGGTTTGGTCCACTTACGGACTTGTTATCTCTAATCAGAAACGATTGTTGTTGGGTTTTTTTACCTGGTGGATATTGTTAAATTGGATTTCTTAATACTTGCCCCAGTTATGATTGTAATTTTACAGTTTTAATTCGTAGTTTTTTAAAACTTTTTTTCTGTCTGGTCTATTTCATGTGTGCATTTTCCACTTTGTAATTGTATTTCTTAGTACTTTGTCTCTGTTGATTCTGCTTTTACAGTTTAAATTCGAAGTATAGTTTAACTTTTTCTGGTCTATTTCACATGTGCGTTTTCTACTTTTGTCATGCTTTTTGCTCTGTCTTTTTATCTGAATTTTTCAGCTGTGTACATCTGTCTATTGTCCTCATCAGCACACAAAGTTTTAGATTAGAAATTTACGAAAAACAATCCTTCAATCCATAAAGCCTTTTTTTGGGGGGTGTATTCATAAAAGTAATGGGGTGTTCTTGGTTTTGGAAGTATTTTAATTCTACGGCACAGTGCCAGAACCTGATTCAGACTGACAGCAAAGGTAGGCCTACCAGTTGCAGCCCTCAAGAGGTAATTTTTGGTAACTCCATATTTTCAGTTTGCGGATGGAATAAGGCTCCTCCCCATTGCGTGCAGAAGATTTGTGTTCGGTT